ATTAAAGCCCAAGGCCAGGCGGCCCTCCAGGTCCGAGGGAGAAGGCAGGCCTGCAGCAGGTAGAGCCACCAGTAGCCTCTGGATCTCCTCACCTACCTTGCACCAGCGTCCCCCTCTGGTCAATCTGGAACACTGTGCTTGCCCATAGCCGTGGGAGCATGGGGGCCAGCGTGGAGACACCCACGGGGAACTCGGGGTCCTGCACCGTCACTCTGAGCTTCGCGACCACGCTCCCGGCCTGGAGGGACACGATCTGCAGCCTCAGCTTCCCCCTTTTGCACAGGTCTGACACCGCCGGCGGGAAGGCACTTTCAACCTGGCCAGGGAGAGGCGACAGCCCCTGTGAGAGCCGATTTTCCATCAGCATCCCTCACACCGCCAGCAGGCCCAGGTGTGGCTGCAGACGGGGCACAGGATCCATGTGTCCCCTCCAGGACCAAGAAGAGGCACCCAGCAACCAACCTCTTGGGGCAAGCAAAGGTCCCCCAGCTCACTGCACCCCCACTGGGCTTCCCCTGGGACAGCGGACCGGGCGTTGGTGAGGACGGACAGTGACCACTACAGTCCGGCTCTCTGTCGTGGAGCATGAGAGATGCAGTGTCCTCTGGGTGCTCTGAACATCGGTGTGAAGGCAAATTGTGTGAGAGAGAGACAAGGGGCTGCTGGATTGACGGACGGATGGGTTGACTGACCAAGGGGCCGCCAAGGAACAATCTCATGGCTGTTTGGCACTGTCCCCCACTTACAGGGCTGTCTCCCCCAGACAGAGCCAGGGGCTCAGGGCCAGCCCTGCCGGAGCCAGGGAGACAGCAGCCTTGCGCCCCGCTCCTGCCACACCATTCCTGCACACACGCCCAGCCCAGTGCAAAGCAGACGGCTTCTCTCAGGAAGTTCCAAAACCAATTTTCCCTGTAGGTGACTGTGGAGAGGCAGCCCTCCTCTGGCCTCTCGCATTTCTACACATTTTGCAAGCAGAAGCCGAAGCCATAACTGCCCTTTTGTTCCAGAATATCGTTCCGAGACGTTTGTATGATGAACAGCCTTAGGGGAGAGAGATCATGGTGCAAAAAGGGCAGATTTGTTCCCTGTCGGAGAGAATAAAGGCAATGTCTCCTTACGGAGTAAGATTTAGTCAGGGTTGCTCACAGCCCAGTTACAAAGGTTCGAGCTCCGCAAGCTTGGGGATTCCCCTGCTGTGATGCAGACTTACTGTGTGCATCACCCACCTGGGCCCCTCTGACTCACCCCTGTGGGACCCGGGGGTAGGGGGGAACTGGCCCCCGCGGGACGCTCACACTGCCTGCTGGGCTGGACAAAGCCCTCTGTCTCTAACCCAGGCATCCGGTGTCTTCAGCCAGCACCCAGGCAACAGGAAGAGGCTAACTTATTCGTTTGCAGGGAGGGTAAAATCTTAGCCCTTTCATGGTTCTTGACTGTTTATGAAGTCACTTCTTTCTTGGTCCTCCCAGGCTGGGTGCTAATGTCCCCCTTTAGCCACAGGGGGATGGATGCCTGATCCCTGCTTAGCGTCCCGATGAAGCCGCTCCCCAGTGGGAAGACCGAGCCCCCAGATCCCAGGGAGGAAGTTCGACAGGAAATCAAGTGGTGTAGACCAATGGTTGGCAAACTGCAGCTCGGCAAACCACGGCTCGCGAGCCACATGCGGCTCTTTGGCCCCTTGAGCGTGGCTCTTCCACAAAATACCAACTTCTGCGCATGGGCCATGAAGTTTCAATCACACTGTACGTGCGCACCTGCACGTGGTATTTTGTGGAAAAGCCACACTCAAGGGGCCAAAGAGCCACATGTGGCTCGTGAGCCGCAGTTTGCTGACCATGGGTAGACCATTTGAATCCAAAACACATATTTCAAAGACGGTTTGGCCCCAAATCTAGATTAAGTCCCCCATAAACGAGGAGGGGGGAGTGTTTGAGCAACGGCTTATGTGGCTCCTCGCTCGGAGCATCAGGGACAGCTCTCCGCGCCCGCCCTTGGCCTTACCTCCTGAAGCAGCTGCCGGGAGAAGTCCCGGTACTCGGGGCTGCCGCGGTCCAGCAGCGGCTCGGTCAGGGTGCGGTTCAGGATCCTCACCGTGACTCCAAACACACGGGCCTCTGAGACAGACAATCGCGCACATTAGCTGAAGCCCAGTGACCCAGCATCCCACGGTTTTCTGTCAACGCTTTCCATAAACCTGTGCTTTGAGGGAAATTTAAAAGTATCGATCAAGGCCTGCACCACCCAGGTACCACCGTGACTAGGCAAAGGGGGGCTCGAACCATGGGGCCGGGCAAGGGTCAGCCACCTGGTAGAGTCGTGTGGCCATGCCAGCTGCCTTCTGGACGCCAGAATTCCCGGTTCATTCCTACCCGTGTGTGTCTGGGGAAAAGTTCTCTCCTGGCACTGGCACAGTAGGCGGGGCATTGCTTGTCACGTGCACCATGTGGGAAATGAGGTGCACCTTCTGCAGGTTTCGCATGGTGCTCACGTCCTGGTTTGGGGAAGTTATACACTCAGCCCTGAGGGGTTAAGTGTCACAGAAGGTCTTTCCATGCCTGCAGGACGCAGGGAGGGGAGCGAGGGGGCCATGATGGCCATGACCCCCAGACATTGCTCAGAGGACACGGAGCGCCCACCGCCCACTAGGACGGTGGGGCCAAGCCCAGGCCTGCCCCTGCCTGGTTAGAAGAGCCACAGTTTGCGTTTCTGGGGCAACAGAATCGGGATAGACAGACCAGCTCACAGGAAACACACGGTGTTCAGACGAGGGCCTCACCGGTTCTGACGGTCAGCGTGGCGGTGACATTGGTCCTGCAGGCCTGGTAGCTGGTCTTCACCCAGTACAGCACCCCGGCCTCCAGCCCCGTCACCTCCAGGGTCGTCGCCTGGGTCCTGGCACTCCTGAGCGGCTCCTCGCCCCTGGAAATCTGCACGTGGAAGGTGCGGTTCTGGGTGGAACTTAAACCCCAGGACACTTGAAAGCTGCTGCTGGTGACATTGAGGATCATATAGTCTGTGATGGGAGGGCCGTCTGTGAACACACAGGAAGAGAAGAACGGAGGACGTCAGAGAGGCAGCAAAGTCCACAAGTGGAACCCCTCAAACAAAAACGTTTCTGCACAGCAAAGGAAACCAGCCACGAGACGCAAAAGCAACCTAGGGAACGGGAGAAGATATTTGCAGATCACACATGTGGTAAGGGGTTAGCATCCCAAATATGTATGAAACTCACACAACTCAACGGCAAAAACAAAACAAATAATCTAATTACAAAATGGGCAAAAAAATCTGAGTACACATTTCCCCACAGAAGACATATAGATGGCCAGCAGGCCCGTGAAAAGATGCTCAACATCACTCATCATCAGGGAGATGCAATCAAAGCCGCAATGAGGTATCGCCTCACACCTGTCAGAATGGCTGTCGTCAAAAGGACAAGAGGTAAGTGCTGGCGAGGACGTGGGGACAAAAGGGAACCCTTGTGCACTGTTGGTGCAGCCTCTGTGGGAAACAGTACAGAAGTTCCTCAAAGAATTAAGACTATAGAGCCGCCACACGATCCAGCAAGCCCATTCTGGGTACTTTCCCGAAGGAAATGAAAGCACTATCTCCCAGCAATGTGTGCGCCGCAGAGTTCACTGCAGCATCGTTCACAAGAGCCAAGACACGGAAACGACCTAAGCTGTCGCTGCAGCTGTGGTCACTATGGTGTGTCATGGGCTGACCTGCATCCCCCGGTATTCACAGGGTGAAGTCTTAACTCCCAGTACATCAGGATGCGACAGTAGTAGGAGACAGGTCTTTAAAGAGCTAACTAAGTTAAAGTTAGGCAATTAGGCTGGGCCCTACTCCAATCTGACTGTGTCCTTTTTTTAAAAAAATGTTTTGATTGATTTCAGAGAGAGGAAGGGAGAAGGAGAGATAGAAACATCAGTGGTGAGAGTTAGAGATAGAAACCTCAATGATGAGAGAGAATCATTGATCGGCTGCCTTCTGCGCACCCCTTACTGGGGATCGAGCCCACAACCCAGGCATGTGCCCTGACCGGGAATCAAACTGTGACCTCCTGGTTCAAAGGTCCATGCTCAACCACTGAGCTACACAAGCCAGGCTGACTGTGTCCTTTTAAGAAGGAGAGCCAGATTCAGAAACCAGGCTTCTTACATTTTCATGTGAAAATCCATGTATTGGGGAGCAAAACTGTAATATAACACTTTAGCATGTAATCTATAATAATAAAAGGGTAATATGCTAACTAGAACAGACATCTTCCAGATGTCCATACTGACAAAGCCAGGGCCACAGGGAAGCCAGACCAGGTCCCGGGTGCCTGTGGGCAGTCCAAGGGAAGCCAGCCTGGGTCCTGGGTGCCTGCAGGCAGCCAGAGGAGGGAAGCCGCGTCCCGGGTGCTGGAGGGAAGCTGGTGCCAGGGGAAGGAAGGCCTACTTTTGCATGAATTTTCACGCATCAGGCCTCTAGTATTCTAATAAAATCATTAACATATATTTTTATATTCAAATATAATTAATCTCTGTTTTTGAAGAAAAATTCTGGCATACAACAGGCACCTAAGGAATATGAATTATGTAAAAAGTAGTTTAGCCCTCAGTCTGGGCACAATAATTCTTATATCAGAATCTGAGTGCTATAAAAAAGCAAGTCATGAGGATTTTTAAAAAACCTTTTGCAAAACCATAGTAAAAAGACACAGTTTAAGAAGTGACTAACGTTTCCCAAAGCCCTTCATGAAAGGCTTCATAAAACATGTTTTCTAGGATCATGAAAAAAATTCCATCTTTCCAAACAAATGTGTATGTTTCCTTTCAGTAAAAAAAAAAAAAGAATAAAAACCAGTGCAATTCAACCCATTTTCCTTTGTGCCTTGGCTGCCAAGACGCTCAGAATCAAGGTTAGGCCTCACCCTAGTCCTATGACTCAGCTCTGCTGTGTCTTCCTCCAACGAGTCGGAGCTGC